CGGTTTTCAGTTTATGTTTCATGTACTTCTTGTTCAAAGGGGAAGAGCCCGGGATGATTGCAATACACACACCACATCATTCCGCATTTTTATATCACTTTTGATGTATTTGGATGTTATTGATACACTCTGATTTACTATGATTTTGTTGATGATGTTTTAGGATAATGGTTTTATTAAATTGAAAATCAAATTTTTTAGTATTAATATTTGGGACATTTCAAATTATTCCCTAATTAAATTACAAGAATTGATATTGTTTATAAATAATAATACTAATAATAAATATACAAAATGTACCAAGTTTATAAAGGTGTGACCCTATAGGATCATATACTATTAGCAATATCACTCTATAATGATTATTGGCATATAGATTCAACAATGAGATATAGCCAAAATACTGACGAGGGGTCAAAATGTCCATCCACATCATTTTTGTGTCTTTTTTTAGCTTCGTTGTCCTCATTGTGCATCCCAGCTCCCATTTTAACTGTAAATGAACATTTCAAAGCATATTAAGTACCATATATCTTAAAATATAACATTTTAATCAAATATATTAAAATAATGGCCTAAAATGTATGTATAAAAATGCCATATCATTCCTAATAACGAGATCTTCAATTCGCGTTTAGATTGTTTTTCCTAACAATCGACCAATCTTGAGTTCGGTTTGTGTGTCTGTACTGATGCGTTGAAACTTCAAAAAATCATAACTTCCTCTCACAAAGTCAAATTTAGATATTTTCTATGAGCTCTCGGTTTTACGACTGCTACGACTTTCATTTAGCTCACATAGGCTAAAAAGTACTTTATCAAAAGTTCACTTTCTTCGATACGAAGAGTTGTGGCGTTTTAATCGCGAAACTTCGAAGAAGCGTATATTATTCATACGAAGTCGGATTTCAGCGTTCTTTATGTATACGGAATCTTTGTCACATATACTATAACTTGGTTAAGATTATGTATGCTAAATAATCTTCTATCAACAAGTTATTTTTAACACTTATTATATGTTAATCGTCTAGCCCGAATTTGTGTGCGCTACAAGACTAATGCCAGAGAAAGCATTGATAAATCTTTCTATTGTTGTATTTCTTTCTTATTCCATATGTTAATTCCCATGCTCTATAACTCTTGAACTTGTGCTACTTGACTACTTATTTACCTCACACTTTCCTTTAGCTTTGACAAGTTTATTTTCTGAGCACATTTTCAGCATATACACATGTGTACATTAGATCTGAATGAAGATTATAAATAATTAACTCCATGTATTAATGAATGAATCTTAATGTAATGATTTGAAGTTTTAAAAAATTGTTACCTATCAAGTAAAGATTCAAAACCATCATCACAACATAAGTAGCATGATGATGATGATGACTGATTCAAGGTCATTAAGCTCTTCATGCACTGATTTTTTCATATCCACACACACCTCCAACATCCTCTACATTTCATTCATTCATTCTTGAAGTGCATCCATATCAACCCCAAATCCTTTTATTATCTTCATTTCTTCCTATGTTTGTGGGATGACAAACGATGATGAATCAACAGCTTCATTTTGTGATTCAGATGCTTGATTTTGTCAATTCACATATGATTGCATCAACAGCTGATCCCTTTGTGCACCAAAATCACTTTGAAGAAGATTAGTACTAACGAAACATAAAACTAACCCAAAGTGCTCATTTGGTCATACAAACAACTAACCTAATTATTGTCTATGAAACCAAGTAATCTAAAATGTGATTTATTTGTCTACCAAATTCCATTGTCACCAGTTTCAATAATATAGCTAATAATCCTATTTGATTTTGTGATTTCTGCTATTGATCGACTCTGCATAAAGCTTAAAACTTTGCTAAATTGAAATACAATATCCAAAATCTTAAAGTGTTTTGGATTTGGTAAAGTGACTGAAATACACCTCTCTTCTAGCTAACCATTTAAAAGGTTGATTATATAGTGTTGCTTGCAGTTAACTTTTGTAGCGATGATTCTTTATTGGTATATGCAGAGTTGCACATGTGCAAGATCATCATCTACATGATATGATTTCTAATTATAGACCAATTGTGAAACTAAGATATCCCGTAATTATTAATCTAGCTCTAGTATTCATCTTTCAAAATCACTTATATATGCATTCCTACATATTATGATATTATGACAAACTCAAAGACCTTTTCGAGGTACAAGTTTCTTTTCTCTTTAGTACTCACCAAATAGAGCAACCTCTAGTAGATAGTAATTCTTTTTCTCTAATATTCCAACAAATTCTAGCCAATCATATTAGTTTATCTCACACCCCTCCATTTCAAGATAATCTCACTTAATTATATGTCACAACTCACAACATATCATGATAATAGGCTAAAATTGGGTAAACATTAGCAAAAAAAAATGTTTTTGTTCACAACATAACAACTTTTGAGCATTTGAATTACATGTGATTCATATGTAAATCACATGTGAATCAGATATGAATTATATGTGATCCATATATAATTCACATGTAAATCACAAGTGAATCACATATGAGTTAAGTGCGATTCACATGTAAATCACAAGTTAAGCACGTATGAATTATGTTTATATACACACATGCATTTTGCGTTAGTGTTCTTTGTTAATTTTTTTTTAACTTTCTTGTGAATTTCACATTTGAATCTTACATGATATATACATCTGCATTGTTGTGTGTGTTATAGCAATAATCTTTTTTTTTTTTAATTTTCTTGTAGGTTTGGAAGAGCTTGTGAAAAATATTAAAGAGGTGAAAGTGATAAATTGAAGAAAATATGAAAATCTTGACACAAAGACATGAAAATGCATTAAAATTTTGTAGCATTTTTCGTTCTTTATATTTTATTTTTTATCGAATAAAACACTTGTACAATTGTGTTTATATATTAGTAAAATAGAAACAGTTTTTTTTTTATAATTTACTTATGAATATTTATAGTATAAGAAATATGCACATATGAACTTGAAAAAATATGCATATATGCACCTAAAGCGTTGATTTTTTGATTAAAAAAATTATACTAATTTTTAAATATTCCCATTTTTGTATTATTTTTTTAATTTACTGTTTTAAGAAAAATTATAGTTTTTTTTTTAAATATTTTTTTCATTTTTTAAAAAAGTATATGTTTTCTAAAAAAATTTAAACATCTAAATTTATTAAAAAAAAAAAAAAAAAAAAAAAAAAAAAAAAAAAAAAGAACAAAATTAGTACTACATGAGTCCCATATTTATTGTCCACTTTTAACTGTTCAAATCTTTGTTTTTCAACTTTGAGCTTTTAATATTTTTGTTTTTGATATATAATATTTGATTAAAAATATATGAATAAATTGTGTTTCAAATATCTTTTCATTATTATAAATTTCATCAAATAATACATAACACAAATAAAAATATTTAGGGTCAAAGTTGATGAACAAAGATTTCAAAAATCAAAAGTGGGCAATAATTATGGAACAAATGGACTATATATATATATATATATATATATATATATATATATATATATATATATATATATATATATATATATATATATATAAACTAAATATTTGATTTATTATGTTAATTTTTAGATCTTTTTATTAATATTTTCAATAACATAAAAAATTAAACATTAAATGAGATTGGTAAGATGATGATTATGTCCTTAATGAGTTAATTTTGATCTAACATCCCACCTTTAGTTCTCAGAAAACTATAAGTTCTTAATAGATCTCATATATTGATGATCATGTCCTTAATAAGTTAATTTTGATCTAATGTTCCACCTTTAGTTCTTAGAAAACTATAAGTTCTTGATATATATATATATATATATATATATATATATATATATATATATATATATATATATATTATATATATATATATATATATATATATATATATATATATATATCAGTGTTGCAGAAATCGGCCTAATCGGCCGATTAATCGGTGATTAATCGCCAATCGGACCTCCACCGATGAGATTTATTGCTAATCGGTCACTATAATCGGGTTTGGTCAATACAGGTCAAAGTCGGAATTAATCGGACCTAATCGGGCCTAATCGGACTTAATCGGACCTAATCGGGTTTGGTCAACGCAGGTCAAAGTCGGACCTAATCGGCCCTAATCGGACCTAATCGCCGATTAATCACTTTTTTTGTAGGATTAAAATTAGATTTATAAATTTTTGAATAATTTTCTTAATAATTAATGGTCCCCGATTAATCCCCGCCTAGCCGATTAATCCCTAATCGCTAGTCCACCGATTAACAGCCAATTAGCGATTTCTGCAACCATGATATATATATATATATATATATATATATATATATATATATATATATATATATATATATATATAGACACACACAGAGAGAGATGTTCCTGATGGGGTGGAGGTTGACCAATTTTTTTTATTCTTATTAATAAGTTATAAAGTATGAAATGAAATATAAACAAATATAAAAATGAAATTAAAAAGAAGAATGGTCATTTCATGTGTTCGAGAATCAAAAGCACATAAATTTCTTAATTTTAGACCTTTAATACAAGTTAAAAACTTCTTGGATTTTATCCATAGTATTTTGAAAACCACATAAACCAATTTTGCAACTTCTTGGACTCTATCCATAATATTTTGTAAACCACATAAACCAATTTTGTCATTGTAAAATGAGTAGAGTTTGAGACGAAAAAGAATCAAGCGTAAATAGGTATTAGGCTAGCGTCTGAATACATTAAGTCAAGTTTTTTTTTTTTTGCTTAAGCTGTCAAACATTGTTGTCTAGATTATGCATTGAACCCATTAAGCTCATTTGGTAATTAAAAAAAACACCTCAATAACACATAACAGTTACATACAATATCAAGTAGATTAAGCATCAAGATATTTACAACACCGAAATATCTCCAAAAGTACACATACATGCATATCAAACAAAGTTAGAATATTCATAGAAGTTGGATCAAGGTCAAACAATCCTCCTAACTAATCATTATGTCAATCCAAAAAGCAAGTTCATTTGGTTGTGCATTCGTTATCAACCCAAAATTCATTTGCAATATTAATACATTTGACCCTTGTTCAATTCCATCATTGTTGGTTTCTTTTGTGCTCATCGTATACCACCATTTCTTTCTTCATTTGTTCCTCATATGCCTCCATCTCTTTCCTATACCGCTCCTTGTCCTTCTTACTTGCCTCGATATATGGCTTTAAAGTATATAGAAAAAGGTTAAAAACGACAAAACACATTAAAAAATAAATCTAAAACCTTCGAGTATGATATTTAATTATTTATATATAAAGTGAATATCCATGCTGGTAACGATTAAACTAAAATAAAAACATTTTTTTTCCTTTATGATAACAAATCGGTCTACAAAACGTAAAGTACTAACTTGGTTGAATCACGTATGTGATATACAATCTGAATATATTGCATTGTCATTTAGTATTTACGTTAATAAACGTGATCATGGGAAAAAGTTGGATCTAGAAACTTTAGTTTGACCCATTAGCCCAAATGCCCGATAGTGGAACTTGGCCCATTTTTTTTTCCTTTTTGGTCCAAAACTGTGTGTCAAATTTTATAATTGAAGATAGGATAGGGTACCAGTTTGTCCTCATTAGAGAGGTTCATCCATGCTTCAACAATACTATCTCGGAGCTTCGCAGATGGGGTACCTCCATGTATACTCTTTAGCCTATCACATTCCATTTTAAGAAACATCTGATAACAGTTTCTTGACCCCAGTGGGGCCCGTGGGTCTTTCCTTATTTTTTTTACTCTAGTGGGTTTCTTTTCTTCAAACGTACACACTGTTTAAAAAACATCATTTTATTGTATAATCGAATTAAACTATAAGAACAAAACATATAAATTAGAATTTAGAAATTTATACCTTGCGTGGTAGGCATGATTATACGTGGCTTTTTATTGAGTTTTACTGGACTGCGGTAAAAATAAGTTTGCTCAAAGGGGTAAAGAATGGCTGCGTATAGATTCTGAAGTTGAGTTGGTGTCAATCGGCTTTTTTCTTTTCGAGTTGCAAAATATGCAACTTCTACCCATTTTCCTTCTTTCATGACCTATAAAGAGATGATATAATATGAACTATCTTCTACGAGTGATTAACTCTTTAGTAAATTACATTTTTCTTATTTGTACATGTTATATTGGTATTTCTCTATATGATTCAAAAACGATTTTTTTTTCTCACTTTTGTTCTCTATTAATACACTTTTTCATAGCATACTTCGTCCCTTAAACTAACACCCTTTTATAAATGGTGCCAAGAATTAAATATGTTATGCGACAGGTGAAATATTGATCAAAAAGAAAAATAGACTTCTTTCTAGAACCGTATACAATAAATTACTATAGCACATGGAAGAAAAATAAAATTTAATTCTGAAGGCGTCGCGTTATATAAAAAGTCACTTACGTGATGATACCCGCCTCTATCAATCACAATTTTGTAGAACTCATACAAGTCAATGCTCGTGTTACGTAAATTAAATCTGTCATCAAATATTCGAATGTTAGATTAATACAAAGTCATAGAATTAAAACCGAATTGTTTCAATCTAAAATCGTGTTAGTTCTCCAAATTTTATTTCTTTTGATCATTTGATATTTTGTTTTCATGGATTGTATTTATATGGTGTCAAAATATGAATATGCAACCAATGTTATAACAATGGTGAAAAACGGTACAAATGAACACAAACTGATACTAAAAAATAAAAAGTTGAAGTAGCACCCAATGTGACATTGAATTGGTAAATAAGATACAAATTTGACTTGATCTATAGATTTTGGGGAAAATTGCACAAAGTAACAACGATACTTTTCTGTTTTTAACTATTACCAATATAGGCAATGTACTTTCTTTTTCCATAATATCAACATACTTATATTTCTTGACCCATAACAACTTACATTTTTTACCAGTAATAACAATACTTAACCGATAATACTTATATTTCTTTACACATAATATGAAGATGTAATAAATGAGATACATTGTATCTTGGTAGTGACATATAAGTGTGAAGTTACTGAAGTTTTTTTTTTTTTTTTTGAGATACATTGTATATTGGCAGTGACCTAAATAAAAAAAAATTATTTCAACTTCAATAACTTCACATACGAAAGAGGCAATATGTATTTCACAAAACAAAGATGTAAATGATATTCTCAAGAGATTCAAGATGGAGAAAGCTGCTTCAAGTTCGACATCAATGGAGTATGGTTTGCAACTAGAGAAAATTCCAAGAGAAGAGAGTGTCGATGAAAGCAAAATTGCGCATTGTACACACCCATTATTGATATTTTTTTGTCCTAAGTGTAAAAAAATACAGAAAAAACAAAGAGAAACAATTTGTTTGTTTATTTATTATTAATGATTAATAACAAATAGCATTATATATACAAAACAGAAAAGATGGTATAAAAGCACAATATATATACTCCTTTTTTAATTCAGGATCGTGACCATTTTAGAACTAATATAAGCATTAAAACCGATTAAACCTATAATAGAGAGTGAAATGGTGTAAATAACAGAAAAAAAAACAAAAGTTCATGTTTAGGAGTAGATGACTCACAATAAGCTAAGACCAGAGGGTTCATTGATCTTGTTGAGCTTTTGATAGAAATCGTCTTCCTCCCTCATATCCGCCGCTGACTTCCCGGAACAATGACCAGAAACTGCCGGAGACGGCGATTTTTCATCGCTAACGGTCGGTGAAGAAGACGCATGGGGATTCAAGCCATCAACACCATTACCGCATTCGTTGTCTGCCGGAAAAACATTCACCATGGTTTTGTCAGGTAGAGGGCGGGCGGCGGCGGCGGCTTGTTGAATAGAATTGCGTTCGCCGGCAGTGGTGGTGGTGTTGGGGTTGTCTGAGATTCAATGTGGTGTTTGTCGAAGTGCTCTCGGGCTCTGTGTCATGTACAATTTTGTATAGAATACACAAATGTCGTATATGAGTTTTGAAAAAGACAAACATTCAATTTGTTAGACAAAATTGCAAAAATATCATTTATTATGAATTATTTCTAAGTTAGACCTTCATTTTTTTGGTTTTATCATTTATAATCCTTTTAAACTAGTTTCATTGCAAATTTGAATTTATGTAAACTAAATGATTTTAATGATTTTGGGTATTTATTTTCTATTTTTAAATTCATTTTTTAAAGTCTTATATTATTTATTCAAATTATTAATTAAAATATGAGGGGGCCTCTCTCTCTCTTTCTCTCTCTCTCTCTCTCTTCATCATCAGATTTTTCCTACTAATGAACACCCACGCACATGTTTAAATAATCAAACCACACACATCTTGATCAAGGTTCGATTTTAGAGAAAGAAGACATTGATTAATGGTTGGAGATTTGTGTTCTTGTTCTCCTTAAACTAGGGATGAGCGTGGGACGAAACTAGTACCGACCCGTACCGTTCCATATTTCCCAAAAACCGAATTTGATCGAAAGTCAATCCCGAATTAACATCACCAATACTGGTACTAATACCGGTACCGATGGTACAGAATCCTGAATTTCATGTATTTGGAGAATCAAGTATCGTCCCATATTTTTAAATTCGGTATGGTTCGGTACCGGTTCCAGTACGGTACCGGTACTGGATCGAAATTTGGGACAAACTACTCATCCCTACCTTAAACCTAAAAAATGAAACCCATAAATTGATTACTATTTTTTTTCATTTCAAAAAGGAAATTTGGGTTGGGGAAAGAGCTTCATCTCGTACAACATCATCATTCATCATCACTCTTTCTCTCTCGTTATTGGTCCGACCAGAACAGGTTCGTCAACCTCCTTATCACTATCGACCCTAGCATTTCTGGCAACCAATGAACCAACGACAAGAGCCCCCATCTGTAACATCTCCATTTGTTCTCTCTGAATTTTCCAGTGAAGCTCTCGATTCAAAGTTCATCTTCAAGAATCGTCCCCCAACCCATCGTTGGCATCCCCTTTGCTCAACCTCTTAATGATAGACACATACACACACACAACGATCTCGTGTTCGGCTACCCATCATGTAACGACCGCAGATTCGGGTTAGTCAATTTAGAGACAATGAGCGTCAAAAACAACTTTTTGATAAAAAGACTATTTAGAGTAAATAATCTTAACCAAGTTATAGTATATGTCACAAGGGTTCCATACATATAAAGAACGTCGAAATCCGAGTTATAACGAAGAAGTTATGGTCCGTCGAAGTTTTACAGTAAAACCGGCACGGTACCGCGTAACGTAAAAAGTGAATTTTTGATAAACTACTTTTTAGCCTTAGCTATCTAAACGAAAGTCGTATTATACATTAAACTGAGAATGTGCATAAAAAGAACGTCAAAACCTGACTTCGTATGAGTAAGTTATGATTTTTCTAAAATTTGACATAATAGTATGCATCCCGGAATTCGAATTTTAGATCGACCGATTTTTAGCTGACACAACCTAATCGAGAATCTAAGATCTCATTAATAGGAACTCAACGATAAAAAGACAGACGAAAATGGACGTCGGATAACAAAGTTATAATTTTTAACGGACTTTACCTGTCCATGCTTGTTAAAAATATAACTTAAATTCAAAATTAGCCGACGGAGTTTAAACGAAAGTTGTAGAGTACGGTCCCGCCTACATGTGGATATAAAGAACGTCAAAAACGAAGCTCGTATGAGAAAGTTACGGATGTTAGAAGATAATTAGTTTTTAGTGTAACCAGTGAGTGACACGTGGCGCAATCTGAGCTGCACCTTCTTCCCCATGACTTTGCATGAGATCGTGACACGTGGCACATTACGCCCAGTGTAAGTTTGAGTAAGCTTAGTGTAACCCTTATAAACCCATTACGCTCAGCGTACTCGACAATGGCAACCTATAAATAGAGGCGTAAATCACTCCATTTCTTCACACCACAACCCTTCTTTCCCTCTCAACACTCCCAATTTCTCCCTCCCAATCCCTAGCAACTTATAAGTGCTAGCAGTGAGTCTCAGAGCGCCAGAAGGCTCCAAGAAAAAGAGCTTTCGACTCAGAAGTTCTGCCCACGCAAAGCTCAGTTCTTCGCTAAACCCCATTGTAGCTGAGTTATGCTTACCCTACTTTAAGTATAACTTATGTTTAAATTCATTCTTGTTATTATGAACCTATAAAAAAATTTAGCAATTATTCCAAGTCGTTATACTGATTGACCTACTTATAGGCTGTGATTTAGTGAGGTGCTTAAAGTGGGATTTCCAAACAGTATACTTCGTATACCAAACGGACCCTACCTTCGATATGATCCTACCTGGTTGTTCCTTACTTGATAGATCATGAAAGTAGACTTTGAGTTAATGATGAATCTAGACTAATAATTAGTCGCAATAAAGATTAGACTAAAACTTAGCGATAATAATGCTAGGTTTCGTCAATGGAAAATAGAATCGTTAGAAGCGAACTACCCGAGTTTGGAATCATCACTTTAACAAGTGAGTGTATAGTCCCTTTCATGAATATGATTTTAATACAAGTATTAAATTATATGTTTATGTGTGAAATTTATGATATTGCCTAAAATACATGTTAAAGAGCAAATCTGATAATATATGATGATTTAGGAAACGGAGTAAACCTAAATTAATTAAGAGGAATATTGGGTAGTATCTCCTCACAAGTAAGAGTGAGATATAAATGGAGGGAATAACTTTAAAACTTGTCATTGATCCAAAAGTATGGATTAGACTTGGTTAGTTGTCCTTAGTCCGAGAGTATGGATAGGACATAGTTATTTGTCATTAATCCGGGAGTATGGATTAAGACATAGTTAATTGTCCATAGTCTGAGAGTATGGAATGGGTATAGTTATTGATCCGAGAGCATGAACTTGATCTCGGAGTATGGATTAAGGAGGTAAATTTTAGATTCGAGAGCATGAATCGTGTCCCTGAGAGAATCGACAGGGTGGGGTAGGAGTTGCTTATATATGATAAAATTGTATATTTTGTGAGTTCTAAAATATATAAATGATATCACATCGTGGGATTGAAATCCCTATGTACTCACCAAGTTTCCTAACCTGACTCACTTAGTTTATTTGTATCACAGGTGCCGATATGAAGCTACATTACACTGAGAGATTAAAGGGGATGTAAATCACGAGTGTAAAGAATGTAAGGTCTATTTATGCTTATGTTTCTATATTGACAATGACATCCCAATTTTTTAATATAAACAAATACATTTCTTCGGAAATGCTTTGATTAAAACCTTTATCATGTTTTATGGGAACAAAATTCTGCAACATTGTTCTTTAAAATATAGCATAAACAAATCGATCTTTTTTCGTCCGTGAAAATGAGTGGCCTTCGAGTCGCAAACAATAGAGTCAGAATTATCTGCTAACTCCCATCTTCAAACCGTAATTCCAACGGCGGTGGCTTCGATTTAGTTAGCGAAGAAGCAAGGTCAGTAGGGTTGTAATGAACGACGTCGTGTATGAGGTGGTCCATTTGAAAAACCTACCTGGTTCGAGGGTTTTAAACTCAGAGGAGTTTTCCATATTTTCACTAGGGTTAGGGTTATTTAGATGGTATGTATGTGTATGTGTATGTATGTGAGTTTAAATCAGAAAAGCCAACTATGTGTGCGTGTGTGTGTGTGTGTGCGTGTGTGTGTGTGTGTGTATATATATATATATATATATATATATATATATATATATATATATATATATATATATATATAAGAAGTTCACTCATGAATAGTACCTGACCAGGGTACTGTTCATAGGGTTAGTTTAATCGAGTTGGGTTAGCCATTATCTCTAACAACCAGTAACTCCATAGATATCCTTGACTGTCTCTCGTCTTCTACCGCTTCCACCATTTTCTATCCGATTATCTTGCTCTTCTCGATGCTTCTCACCGCTGTTCATCTGTTTATATTTTGTCATAGTAAGTTTATTTATATTTATTCCTTTGTGCTATTAATTGAAAAGGGAAATGGACAACACTCACAAATTCATATATATATATATATATACATATATATACATACATACATACATATATATATATATATATATATATATATATATATATATATATTTATATATTGTCGAGAACCCGAGAACTAAATAAGGACCATCAGATCCAAATAATGAAAGGTTAGGATGTTTATGGCAGTTTTAAATAATTAAAAAAATGGTGCGGGGGTATACAATTGAAATAAATCACTGGGCATTTTAGGGATAAGATAATTCATATCCCCTTGATACCTTTCTCTCAAACCCACCATCTTCCTCCTCCCCCAACAACGTTCTTCTTTGACGCTCTCCCCAAATGGCGATGCTTGATTTTAGGGGAAACAATCGATTTTCATTCCAGATTCAGAGATGAATCTCATCTCTAAATGGTGTTGAAGTGTATTGAATCGATCTAGAGAGACTTATACAAAATATGTCGTCGTGAACGCTCTAGAGGATGCTCGAGAAGAAGATCCTTGCGATTCGAGCACACATCAAACGAAGAATCAACAAAGATTTTGGATTCAGCAGTAGTTTCAAACCTTCAATCGTTTCAGTCTTTCATGAATCAGGTAATCCACTAAACAATGCATCTTATCCTTTTCTGTTTTCCATAGTATAGCGGCATGATGTGTTTAACCTTTCCTTATACGAAAAATTATATAATGACCTGTCACAGAATTGAACGAGGAACATTGGAAAACAAGATTACTAAATCAAACTCCACCTCCACCTCCGTCGGAGAAAAGGAATCAGATGCTATACTTTCATTTTCTTCCATCATATGAACATCACGTGAAATTTGAATCATTAAAATCCTGATTGTTTCCCTATTTTTGTAGAAAGTGCGATGTTAATGTTATTGTAATCATAAATTATTCAAAAAAGAAGTATTAGATGAGTACCAATGGAAATCTTTGAATTTTGTTAGATTTTGATTCTAATCAAGTCTGTTATTCATCATTCTCGTTGTTTCGTTGATCCCTGCACACAACCTATTTGATAAAGTGTCACACTTTTACTTCATTTAAGTTGTTGTCCCTAGAAGAGATGTATGATGCAATCCAGTGTTTTGGCAGGTGTAACTCCTAAGATATTATGTAAAAACCTAGAAGAGATCCTCCAACAGTGGGTGATGATGCCCTATCCCTCTTTTCTAGCAAACGGGCTTTCTCCACTCCTTTCTTTCTTCACTATCAATATAGTTGTTAGTGGCAAATATTGCCATAATGTCATTATTCATGTTGCACCCTTCATCATTCACATATCATGTTAATTTTGCAACTCGATTATGGTTTTTACGAGTTTATGTTTGTTATATACAAATGGAAAATGAAAATAATATGATACTTATGTCTGATAATTGGAAAAAAGCCTATTTTTGATCCCCGAATAAATATTTTCACTCGATTTATTTTGTAAAATTTGGAAACCGAGATGTTTAATAGATTGTTTTATTTATTAAGTTAAAACAATGAATCGGTTGTTTGATTCATTGATCCGTGCACACGACCTGTTTGACTAGATCTAGCCGCAGCAAGAAGTGCAAGGATAAAGCATGCCAAGCTCAATATATTAAACCAAATCCAGGTAAAAGAATCCTTTTACTGTAGTTTTTTTGGAAACTTATGAATCTGTCACACCCCAAAACCTGAATGGCAAAAACGTTCGGGGGTGGATGACGTCATGTACAATATCACAACAATGCATAATAGTAAACAAGCAAGAACATCATCCATTGCATTAATAATATAATTTTAATACAAGTATGTTCTGTATACTTTATAAGACACCAAAAATGAATAATCAAAATAAAGTTGAGTCTTGAAAGCTCCGTCTTCTCAAAACCTGGCATCGGTACCTGTCTACTGATGACCTGAGAATACAAGTTATTTGTGACAACCTGAAAATTTCTTTTATTAAAACTGTTTAAAAATAAATCAATTCGGATTTATTTTTGATCACGTTAGTATTCTTTTGAGCTCAGTGCAATCGAGGTTCGCGTCCTAGAACGAGTTTTCTAAGTCTTAACATAGCATCCGGGCCAAACACCCCTTCGATAGGAGTGTACGGCCGCATACTCGATTTTACGACTGTACACCCCCACCCCACCCCCCTTGGCCAAAAACTCTACCTTATATATAGGGTATATGGCCTTCATTTGTCACTTTACACACTTCAAAAAGCTTTCTCTCTCTACTCTCTCTCTACAACTATCGAGTTTGCTCAAGAATCCTCAAGAATGTAAGTGATTCTTCACTTTGATTGTGTTTCAATCTCTCTTCTAGTGATAAAACCATGTTCCTACCTCATTAATCTCATCATTTGTCTAGATTTTCTCTCTCACTAAGAACACATACTAGTTCTTGGTGGCTAAAAACCTCATTTCAAGCTTCCTAATCGTAAGTAACTACTCCCTATACTTGATATCTACTAGAAAACTTGGATTATCACCTAGAAATCGACCTAAAATGCATGAACACAGAGGGTTTACGGTTGTAAACCATGTGTACTTTCGTACACCCTTCATTGGCCGAGAACTCCAGTCTTGGTCAAATATTGGTCTTAAAACTTTCCTTAAGCCATGCATAGGACTTAGAACACTTCCAAGAGGCTAGAAAGGACCTAGAAACGCCACGAATCACACTTTTCCTCGAGTGTTTACGGCCGTAAACTCATGGGCCGAAAACCCATGGGTCGTAAACCCATGAACCGTAAACCTTGTTGGGCCGCAAACCACTGACCGTACACTCCTTTTACGGCCGCAAACTCCCCATTTTCAAATCATATGTGATTCTAACACTTAGTTTCAAGTGTTTCCTAGACCCTAAGGTGATTTCTTTCTGTAACTAATAAGTGTTATACCCTCACCTAATACATGTATATCCTACTATATATTAAATAGGATCCGTTTGTGCTTGAGGTTTCTTTTGGCACTCAACATTCCTACCGACTTACCTTCGAATCTCACATCAAACTGTGAGTTCATACTGCTACGTTTTTCTGAGTTTCTCATGTTTTTCAGGGGGGAATACAAGCAAAAGTACAAGGAAACTTGTGCACAAAATATATTATTTTTCTTAAGATAATTATATTTTCAGAATACTTTTAACATGGAAAACAGTTTTACCAAACGATAACCAAATCAACTCGTAGAAACAAGTTCCAAAACTAGAGTAATGAACTTATGAATCATGTAGAAAAATGTATCTTTTTATAAAGGATTCATGTTAATCACAAAAAGATTTTTCTATACTATTACTTGTAAATTTGCTAGTTTAAGTTGGAGACGCATCCTTGGTAACACTCCCACCGTATTTCGAGAGTGTAGGACCACCTCTTGTAACCAGAATCTTTTGGAGTGAGAGTGTGACTATTGTGTATAGATCTATACGGGACTGACTATCCTGCACCTGAACTTCTAGCTACAGTTAGGCAGACATGCATGGGGTGACAAAATTCATAAGATATTGGCCTCGTTACGTGCCATATCAAGTTATTGTATGGTTATAAAAGTCACAACCTAGATAGCAGAGATTTACTTTTGTAATAATGAATCAAGTGAACTAAGCTCAAAGTAATAACCGATTTGATTACTAGAGGGTATTAATACTACCTTCAAGATTTAGTTCAATATGTTTTCTTTTATTAGTTTTATCTATATACTATGGCTAACATACCTCACTGGGAGTAACCATGGTTTTTAAAAGAAAACTACGTTTATCGATATTAGTATGGTAGATACTTGTACACCTCGGTTTAGAACGGATAACCAACCATCAACTTTTAGGGAAAATATAGGATTTTCCCAGGATAACTTGGTTTTTCACAAACAAATTGTTTTTACATGTAACTAACGAACTTTCATTATTGATCCCATGATTCCTCAGTTTATACATTTGAGTCATGTATGAAGAATACCTGATAAACTGTGGCATGCGTGGTTTCTGCCTTATTCCCTGTTCCTTGTTTGGTTGTGGGTTTAGGGCAGATCCACACAGTTAACTGTCTATCCAGCATTGGTTTATACATAACTAGTATGAACCAATAAATCATGGCGTGAATAGGTTTTTCAAACTCACTTTCCATAAGAAAATATAGGATTTTCTTGAGGAACACTTTTCAAAAGGATCAAAGAAACATTTTCCACCAAAACTATTTGCTTATAAACTCACCAGCTTTATGCTAATATTCTTTCAAACTGCTTGTATTCTCAGGGAATTAGTAGACAGGTACTTCCAGGTCTTTTGGAGAAGTCGGCGTGTAGGGTCACGTCTTTCTATTTACTTTTTCTAAGAAACAAAACTTTGTACTAAGACAATGTAAATCTTTTTTCATATATGTATTCAATGTTGGTTGTGTTTACTATGCTTACTATGATACAACTGTTGTGATACTACGCATGACGTCAACCACCCTTGAACGCTTCTGTTGTTCTGTTTTGGGGGTGTGACATTATTTTGAAAGCGTAGATCAGCATTAAAGTTGGTGAGTTCATAAGTATTTTAGTGTCGTTGCTTGTATGAAAGTGTTTGTTAATGTTTGATGTAAATGTTTGTAAGTATTTTTAAATGTTTGTATCTCCTAGAAAATCCTATATTTTCTACTAAATAACAGCCTTCTACCAAGGCCCAAATGTTATGTGTGTTGTGTTGTTTGTAAAAGTGTATCTTTCCCAAGTATGACTATCATTACCAAAATATAGTTTACATTACCGTTTATGTGAGAAGATCACAATGTGAATGCAATGGGAAAGTAACAGTGTATAGTAGTATTGTATGTAAGTAACTACCAATGTACTAACTACCAATGTACTAACTACCTTAAACCAGTTTGTTAATTAAGGTAAAATGTGATATGATTGTAACCATAATTGATAGACTTAGTATAACACGACGCTCTAAGGCATC